TATATTGGCATTAATACAGTATCCTTTTCCCCATTCCTTTAGTTTCTTTTAAACAGCTTTTTTGAAGTATAACTTACATATAGTAAAATTCATCACTTTTAAGTGTACAATTTGATGGTTCTGACAAATGTAGAGCCCTGTAACCTCCACCATAATCACGATGGAAACATTTCTTTCACCCCCAAAATTTCCCTCATGCCTCTTTGTGATCCTCTTTTCCCACCCCCAGCCCCTGGAACCACTGATTTGCTTTCTATCATATAGTATTGCCTTTTATTGAATGTCATATAAATAGAATTGTTCAGTACGTAATCTTTTTGTGTCTGGCTGCTTTCACTCAGTGTAATTATTTTGAGGTTCATCCAGCACATCATTTCTTCAATTGCTGAGTAGTATTCCATTGTGTGGATGTGCCGCAATTTATTTAGCCATTCATCAATGTATGGGTATTTGGTTTTTTCCAGTTTTTAGCTTTTACAGATAAAGCTTCTGTGAGCATCTGAGTATAAGTCTGTGTGTGGACATAGTTTCATGTCTTTTGGGTAAATACCTAGAATTGGGGTTGCTGGTAGGGGGGAGAAGCATCTCGGTTTGCCCAGGACTGAGGAGTTTTCCGGGATGCAGGACTTCCAGTGCTAAACACGGGCAGTTCTGGGTAAACCAGAACAGTTGGTCACCCTGTGCTGTGTCATTTGGCAAGTGTATGTTTAACTTTATGAGACACTGCCAAGTTGTTTTCCAAAGTGGCTGCACCGTTTTGCATTCTTCCCAGCAATTTATTAGGGTCCCAGTTCTTCACATCTTCACCAATTCTTGGGTATATCAGTCTTTTTATTTATTTATTTTATTTATTTATTTATTTATTTTTAAAGATTTTATTTATTTATTTTTCCCCCAAAGCCCCAGTACATAGTTGTCTGTCATAGCTGCGCATCCTTCTAGTTGCTGTATGTGGGATGCGGCCTCAGCATGGCTGGAGGAGTGGTGCCTCGGTGCGCACCCGGGATCCGAACCCGGGCCGCCGGCAGCGGAGAGCACGCACTTAACCGCTAAGCCACGGGGCCGGCCCCAGTCTTTTTAATTTTAACTATTCTAGTGGATTTGTCATGGAATCTCATTGTGATTTTAATTTACATTCTTCTAATGACTAAGAAAGTTGAACATCTCTTCATATGTTCCTTTGTCATCTGTATATCTTCTTTGGTGATGTGACTGTTCAAATCTCTTGCATATTTTCAGGTGGGTTGTTTGTCTTCTTATTGAGTTATAAGAGTTTCTATAATCTATATATATAGTTTATATAGTCTAGTGTATATATATATAGTTTATATAGTCTAGTGTATATATATGTATATTTTATATAGTCTAGTGTATATATTATAAATAATATATCAGATATATGTTTTGCAAATATTTTCTACCAGCCTGTGACTTGCTGTGCCATTGCATTTTGAAAAAGTTTTAAATACTTTCAGATACTAACATGTATTTTTAAATTATGAATTTGTATGTCATTGTTTTATTATAATAGTCATAAGAAAGCATAAAAGTTAATTTAATGTACATTAAATGGCCTCGTATGACAAAATTAACAATGTGTACTTTATTAATTGTTTTGATTGCATAATGATAATAATAATAAGAAGAAGAAGCAGTTAATGCTTACTGAGCACTTACTATGGTCCAGGCAGTGTTCCACGTGCTTTATATAAATGAACTGATTTATGGGCCGGCCCCATGGCTTGGCGGTTGAGTGCGTGCGCTCCGCTGCTGGCGGCCCGGGTTCGGATCCCGGGCGCGCACCGATGCGCCGCTTCTCTGGCCATGCTGGGGCCGTGTCCCACATGCAGCAACTAGAGTGATGTGCAGCTATGACATACAACTATCTACTGGGGCTTTGGGGGAAAAATAAATAAATAAAATTAAATGAACTGATTTAATCCATACAACAACCAAGTCAATTTATTATCCTCAGTTTAAAGATGAGGAAACTGAGGTAGAGAGAGGCTAAGTAATCTGCTCAGGGTTAGACAGCTAGAAGAGTTTAGTTCTGTTTATTTTTAACTTCCTACCCTTCACCTATCCTCAGTGCCTTTTGGTTAGCAATGGTGACTTGAAGATGGGAACACTTCTTGAAATTCACGGTAAACCCAAACCAAATGAAATGGTGTTTGTTTTTGGAAAATGATAATTATCCACCACATCGTGTTCCAAATGTTTGGATTTAAGTGCAAATGTGTCAGGATGGAAGTGGGTCTTGAGAGCATGTTGTATATATTTTGAAATAAATAAATGTGGATTTTGTGTTTGCTCAATTTAGAGAAAGAAGACAGCATTAAAATAATAAATCACATATAAATGACGTAACACACTTATAATGTCATATAAAATGCGATAAATACCAAGGGAGCTTGAAAGTAAATAGTAGGTTTAAGTTCAGAGGAAGAGGCAAAATCTTCTAAGTTTTCTCACTTTTCTCAGAAGGAATCGCACAGTTAAAGCGATGAAAAGAGACCAGTCCAATTAGTAAAGAATTTAGTTTGCTTGGGGGGTTGGGGCAGTCGTATCTGTAATGAGCCAATATGCTCTGGAGCTTTATCCCTTATCAGGGGCATAACTTTGGGCAAGTTACTTAGCTTTACTCTGATTACTGTAAGAATTAAATGACTTAATACATTTAAAGCACTTGGCCCAGTGCCTATAGTAAGTGCTGAATAAACATTCACTATTTTTAATATGCCAGCCCTAGTGGTCTTGTGGTTAACATTCAGCGCTTTCACTGAGGTGGCCTGGGTTATACCACCTGTCTCTTGGTTGTCATACTGTGGCAGCTGTGTGTTGCTGTGATGCTGAAAGCTATGCCACCAATATTTCAAATACCAGCAGGGTCACCCATGGTGGACAGGTTTCAGCAGAGCCTCCGGACTAAGACAGACTAGGAAGAAGAACCCGGCCACCCACTTCTGAAAAAATTGTCCATGCAAACCCTGTGAATAGCAGTGGCGCATTGTCTGATTTGGCGCTGGAAGGTGAGAGGATGGTACTAAAAGACCAGGCAGGGTTCTGCTCTGCTGTACACAGGGTCGCTAGGAGTCAGAATCAACTCGACGGCATTAACAACAGCAAACTTCTAATATAATTTTAATGCATAGTGAAAAGTGAGCTAACTCAATACAGCAAGTGTGAAAAACTGTGGACTTTGAAGGTCGACAGGCCTGGGTTCGTCTCCAGGTCAGTTACTGAAAGCAATTTGCTGAACAAACTGTTCATTGAATTATTGAGTTTTTTTTTTTAAGTTTTGGGAAATGGTCCTTGCTCGAGCCCTCCCCTGTTCCAGCCTCTGACAGTGAAACAGCTGTGGCCTTCTGTGAACTGACTTCTGGGAATTTGACTTGCAGCTAATTGAGTTTGCTGCTAATCAAGGAATTGGCAAATTGGCCTGCTTACCCTGGGTTTGAATCCCTACTTTACCACTTACTTTAGCTGTGTGACCTTGGTCAAGTTACTGAACTTCTCGGAGCCTCGGTTTCCTCAATCTAAAAAGCAGATATAAAAATTCTGATTTCTGTGAGATAGGTATGAGGATTAAATGAAGTCAGTGGGTGAAATTGCCAAGCACAAGATAAGGATTTAGTGAAGATTTTACATGCAAATGATGTTGCTTAAATATTATTCCTGAAATTTTTACAATGTCATAAACCAATGTTACTGCAATAAACAGAAAATTAAAACAAAAAAACAAAACAACAACAACAACAACAACAAAATATATTATTCCTCCTTAAATGTTGCCTCCTCCCCACCTAATTTAATTTGCTGTGGCACTCCTTATATTCATGAAAGAAAATGGAAGAATAAATTTAAGCCCAGTCCCAGGATATTGCCTTCTCCATGAGATTTTGCCGGGCAGAATAGTCTTGCCATCATTCACCATGTGGCCAAGTACCTTTCTCATCCCATGTGAAGCCCTGAGATCGGCCATCCTGGGAAAACCTGGATCTGACCATGTCACTTCCCTGCTTAGAATCCATCCTCCTAAGCTTTCACACCAGCTGCTCTCCAGGACCAATACAGAAAATGGGTAAAGGCAGCATTATTCTGGTGAAGACAGTGCTGCTCTGGTTGAAACTCCCCTTGCCCCTGTGGATACCTGAAACTTAACTCAGGGTTAGAATTCTTTATGCGTCTGAGAGCTTTGTGCTCAACATCAGGTCTCATCTTACTCCTTTCTGGTCCCCTACCTCCTGTGCTTGTTTGCTTGTCCCCACCTCCCCATGTGTGCCAGGCACTATTCTGAATGCTTTAGTTACATGTACTAACTCGCTCAATTAACTAATATCCCATATTCCTGTAAGGCTCAGGGAGATTGAGTAGCTTGTCCAGGGTCACATACAGTTAGCAAGTGTCAGAGCCAGGATTCAAAGCCATGCAGTCTGGTGCCAGAGTGCAAACCCTGAGCCAGTGCACCATGCTCCCTCCTAATAGATGTGTGTGGGAGACTGCGGGGCTGGGAGGCAGGAGGCTGGGAGGCTGGGAGGCTGGCTCTGTGTGTCAGCCATACATGAATTCCTTGGGTAATTTATATATATTAATTTGTGCCATCCACTATTATTAGACTGAAGGAATATCGTTACTTGGAATCCTCAGATATATTTTTTCCTGTTTCAAATCCAAGATATAAAATGCGACTATGAATAATTGAAAATAAACGGAATTAAGAAGAAACTTCAGGATAGATTTTTTTCCCTTCAAGTTTTCCATTCGGTCTTACAGTGACCAAAGTGACAGACATTCCAACTATGCGTGCCCTGCTCAGAGTATCCAAGAACCTACCAATGGGGATTACTTAAGTTCTTAAGTGTCAAACACACAAAGGGCATTTTAAGTACAAGTGGCATGTTTGAAACGTGAAAAGGCGGGGGTGGCGGGTTTGCAGCTCCTAGAGTTCAAGGAGACCCGGAAATCTCACCCTGCCCATTCTCCTATTGTGTTTGTCACAGCCTTGCCCCTCTTCTTCTTGAAGATGGAAAAGATGCTGGTGAGCTGCTTTTTGCTGATTCTCGGACAGATCCTCCTCCTCCCTGCTGAGGCCAGGGAGCGGCCTCCCTCGAGGTCCATCTCCAGAGGGAGACACACTCGGACCCACCCCCAGACAGCCCTCCTGGGTGAGTGATGAGGGCTCCATCTACAGAAGCAGGCAGGAAGGGGTGGTTGAGGGTGGACCTTCAGACCAGGGGCTGGATGTCAGGCTGGGAAGCTCTTCTGTTCCTGGGTGGTCTGTTGGGTGTGCTGGGGGAGAGGGGATCTCATTGGCTATGAGTGCACCCTGAGTTGAGGATGTGGTTGTATATGAGTTTTCAAAATGAAATTAAACCTCTCCTATTTCAAAGCCTTCTGTTTAATCTGAGGCTCATGACTTTTTTCCAGTATGCAAAGGCAAGATTTTTCATCTGAAAGGTCCTTGTTGGACTTATCTGGACAAGGGTGTTATGAGAATTTTTGAATTGGATTTGTCCAGCTAATCAGTGTTAATAATGCTTCCCTGCATGACAGCATGGAAAAAAGAGCGGGCGGGCCTGTGAAAGGCGGGGACGGGCACAGAAGAGAGGTGGGGACGTTATGAGCTGAATCAAGATACTGGGAATGAAAAATGTCAGGAGTCTGTTATTCTGACCCAGTGAACATGTTTTCTTCAGGTGAATTGTTTTTCTTTCTTCAAGAGAAAGAAAAGGTCATGAAAACACACAGAATATATATAAATTGGCCCAGTTCTAAATATGAGCTCTGGTAAGATGAGGATGTGGGGGTAATAGGAAGGTTGGCCAGTGGAAAGAGAATGGGTTTTGACATAGACCTAGGTTCAAGTCCTGGCTCTGGTACTTACCAGATGTGTATACCTAGGCAGCGTAACCTCTCTGAGGTTCAATTTACTCATCTATAAAATGGGAATGTTAATGCTGACCTTGGAATATTTTTGTGAGGAGAAAATGAGGTAATATACATAAATTGTAGATATGCAATGAATAATAATAGCTTTACCACAACTATCCTTCGATGGAGTTGTTTCTGAAACTGTGTTCCATTTATATCTTGTTGGCCAGCCGCTAGAATCTGACCCCCTGTGCCAGATATGGGGGGTTTAAGGTGAACAGGCACCATCAGGAAGTGCACATGTAGTGGGGGAGACAGATGTAGACAAAGATCATTAATTTGGTAGAATCAGAATGCAACAGTAGAGGCATAGCCAAGTTACAGCTCCACACTGCCTGCTGTTGGCTCATATAAGGCAGTGGTTCTCAAGCTTTTTGGTCTCAGGACCCTTTTACACTCAAAAATTATCAAGAATCCCAAATTGCTTTGTTCATGTGGGTTAGAACTATCGAGATTTACTGGATCGGAAATGGAAATGGAGAACTTTAAAACATATTTACTTATTCATTAATTAATTTAAAAATGATAATAACAAACCCATAACATAAATAAAATATTTATATAAAAACTGATATTTTCTAAATTAAAAAAAATTAGTGAGAAGAATGGCACTGTTTTACAATTTTGCAAATCTGTTTAATGTCTGGCTTAATCGAAGACAGCTGGATTCTCATTTCTCATCCATTCAGTCTGTCAGGAGGTGTTGTTTTGGTTGGATTACATGAAAAAAAGATGGCCTCACACAGATATGCAGTCAGAAAAAGGAAGAGAATGTTAGCAGCCTTTTCATATAATTGTGGATATTCTTCTTTGACATGACACCAAAACTTGACAAATGGTAGTTTCTTGAAGGTTAGTTGCAGTGTGGAATCTAAAACCACATCAATAGACTTCTCGGACTCTATACACTCATGAGAGAATGGGAGTGTAAAAGGCAAACATTAGCGTTGTTATGAAAATAGTTCTGACCTCATAGACCCTCTGAAAGAGTCTCAGGGACCCCTAGGAGTGCCCCAAACCATGTTCCCAGTGAAAGTCATGACCATGTGGAGCCCTGAGGGATGAGCAGGCTGGAGAGGAGTGAGGATGGAATGTGGAGGTGGGAGAGGTGGGACCTGGTGATGCCGTCAGGGATCGCCATGTCTGTAAGGCTGGTGGTCTGAGCTGGAGACAAGCCTGGAGGAGGCAGGAACCTTGGGGGCTCTGATGAAGAGTTTGGGCTTCATTCTGCAGGGGTGGGAGTCCCAAGAGAACTTTAAGCAGGCAACAGTGGTGATCACTGCTGACTCCTTTTGCACCCACTGTGCCATCTGGACAGCCTCAGTCCTCCAGAGCTGTGGCAGAGGGCAGGGGGAGCAATCCCAAGCCGACACGCCCAGGCCACAGGAGAAGGAACATTCTCCAGCCCAAATTCCCTTCTAGGCAACCATGCAGTCAGCATGTTGGAGCAGCAGGATGTGCTGTACCCAGAGCATAAGCTCAGATTCTTCCCCTCTGCACCCATCCCTTATCAGTGGCAACATCCCCTCTCAAACTTCTCCCTAGACCCCCCTCCAGGTGGCTCTAACTGGAAGCCATGTAACTCCCACTCCTAATTACTGCCTGCTTTGCTTGTGCACATTTTTTTCTTTATTATATCACTGTCATATGGGGGTGGACCTATCGCCAGGGCAACCAGTGCAGGCATGTCAGCCTTTTTTTTGAAACCTTAACCCACCTTGCTCAAACTCCCACTGTATTCTTGACTCCCCTCACTCCTGGAGTGAGAATACACAAACTGGCTACACTTCCACTGTCTACACTTCCACCAACTGGCTCTCTGTTTTGTTTGTCTTTTACGATGTCTAGTTGACACGTGCATTCTTGTCTGAATTTACCATCCTGGGTCATTTTATTTCTACTAACTAACCTTGAAACCTTTTCCTCTCCCTATAATAGATTCCCCTTTGGATCAGTACCACCCACTCAGAATTCATGTTGGTGTTTTAAGAGAGCACTTTCTGTCAATATGACAGTAGATTCGAGAAGTGGGAGGTGGAGATGTAAAACCCGGCCAGCCCCATAGTCTGGTGGGAGCTGAACTTTCCCCACACTCTGCTAGGAAGAATTCCAGTGGTGGTCAGGAGTTGAGGCCACAGAATTTAGTGAAATTTCTTCATAACAGTTAACTGACTACTTAAAAATAAAGCTAATGAAAAAAAAATCTAAGAACTCATATAAAGCCCCAAATTCTGTTCTTTGGAAATCACAGTACATTATGAGGCACTTATTTCCATTTTTACATACATCTCTAATTAAACCTGACGTCAAAATATTAGTAAAAATGCAATGTGTTTCATATGAGGAGCTGAACCTCCTAAATTAGCAGTGTGACTGAAGGAGTTGGCTGGCCTAGAAAATTAAGTTAAGAATGTCTTGCTCTGTGTTGCCAATGGAGGTTTTGCCTAGGTTGATAATTATTAACATTTTCAAGTGTTGGCTGCCAGTAAATGAATTCCCACATCCTGAAACAATCCCCTAGTTAACATTTGTTGGCACCCTCAGTGAGGGAGGAAAAGCTGATGACAGAAGCCATCAGAGCTTCTGGCTCCTGGAGTGACAGACCCATTGAGGCCACCAGTCTTAGGTTCCCTGAAGCCCCTTTGTCATGCTTACAACTTTTGTCTTCTGCCCTGAGCTTTCCGGGGCTTTGTTTGCCCTCTTCCTTTCACCTGGAGTATCTTTCCTTGGCCAAGGCCTATTTATCAGCCAGTGCCAGGAAAAACGCCAGCCACCTCCTCCCTCTCCCAGCCAGGCAGGACCCTCCGGGGATGGGGATGGAGATGGGCCACGTGCACTGCAGGTTCTCTGCAAGGTGTTGACCCTGTCTGCCTTATATTCTGAGGGGTAATTCTGAGAAATCAAGAGGGATTTCTATTTTGTTTATTTTTGTAATTGACTTGTTTTTACCACTAGACTGTAAACCCTTGAAGACAGTAACTGAGTGTTTTTCATGTCTCCATAGCACCTCTGGAAGGTACCCTCATTTACTGAGCCCCTGCTGTGAGTAGGGACATGCTATCTCACTAAATCCGTGAAAAGAAGACAGAACACTGGGAGGTGGTTATTGGTTTGTCCCATTTTCAGATGAGGAAGCTGAGGCTCAGGGAAGTTAAGTGATTTGGCAAACTTGTCAAGGCTTCTGCAAACCTAGAAAGAAAAGGTGCCCCCCCCCTACCCCACGCCCCTTAGGGAGAGGGTGCCTGGCTTAGGGGAAGACATGTATTTGAGCAGAGAAAAAGGCACCTCACTCGCACTTGCTCCCTGACCAGGAGTTTTTGAGCAGACCATGGAATGCCCATGTGTATTTGGAGCTGCTGCTGCTGCTTGTGACGCCGGGGTCTGCCGACCTTAAGCGCTGGCTTTGGTCCTGCCCACAGCAGAAGCCCAGTGTGTGTTGAAGGACTGAGTGGATGAGACATGAAACATGCAGATGGCTGATTTCATCCTCATTTGGATGGTTCCAGTTTTGATTTGACTTCTACTTAGCAAGTGACCCCGGGCAGGATGCTTTACTTCTGCAATTTATTCATCTATAAAGGGAGGTGGTTGAAGTCAGTGATCCTCCAGGTCTCGTCTAGGATGTGGCGATATCACCGATTCCCCTGCCTTCCAGATGTCCCTTCTCTGGCTCCTGTGGGGAAACCCCCGATACAACGCTGAGCTTTCTTTCACTCTCTCCACGTGGGAGGGCTAAGGTGGAACCATATTCTGGAGGCCAAGGAGGGAGAAGCATTGAGACAGAAGGGGTGGGGCAATAGAATCAGGCAGGGGAGTAGGGATGGGGCAGTAGGATCAGGCAGCAGAGCAGTGGTTCTCAAACTTCATTGTGCATCAGAAGCTCCTGGAAGGCTTGTTGGAACACAGACTACTGGTCCCCATGCCCAGAGTGTTTGATTCAGTAGGTCTGGGTTGGGGCCTGAGAAGTTGCATTTCTGGAGACCTCAGTTTGAGAACCATTGCAGAAGAGCATTCTAGGAGGTGGAGTGGAGATGGACAGGAGGAAGAGATCTTAGGAAGAGATGCTGTGGGGCATGAGCTAGAAAGACAATGCAGGATGAGTAAAATCTGCAGAGAAAATTGCAGCTGGAGAGCATAAAGTAACTGTAGGCTGGGTCCACCCCTTCCAGGGCTTTGCAAATAAGCTGCTTAGCATTTTTCTAGCCAGGGGGAGTTGGCAACGGTGGGCCTCAAGCCTGTACAGGGAGCCAGCCTCTTACAGTACAGCAGTTAACACACATCTAAAGAATCGAGTGTCTGGTGGGTGTCTTTATCATCAGAACTGATTATAAAAATGAAGGTTGATGTGCAGAGCTTATGGAATTGTTTTAACTATAGCAAAGACGTTCTAAAAAATAAAATCCTTTGGAGTAAAATCGCACCGCCTCTTTTGCCCTCCTCTGTGCATCCTCTGCACTACAATCGCAGCCGGAAATGTGGCCCTGACGGAGGGACTGTCATGGTTGCTGCTCAGCCCAGATGCATAAAATGCATCTCTTCATGGCTGTGCTCTGTTTTATGTATTAACCAATGTCTCTGTTATCATTCATTTTTATAAACTGCATGAACTGAATTCCTCATTCCTATCTTGTGATTAATATCAGGAGAACCCCAAAAAGCATAGTATCTGACTTCCAATAAGCCACAAAGTTAAAAACTTTCCTAGCCAATAAATAAATAACTTGATTTTTTTCTCCTACAGATTCTCTCTCCCCTTCTTTCTCTCTTTCTCTTCTCTACTCAACTCTTTATCCCCTTCCTTTTCTATAACTCTCCTTTATCTCTCCCTGTCAAATCTCTCCCTCCCTCATTTCCTTCTCCCAGGATGTTCTGTCTCCAGCTTGCCCATGTGTTTGGCACCTTCAGTGTGTATGTATGTGGGGATGGGGGTGGGGGACATCCTCTCAGTGGGTGACATGGCCATTGTTCTTTTCTCCTCTTTGATGGCTGGTGCTTTTGGGGGGGCGAGGCATACAACCTTACCCCTCTGGAGCCAATTATGTCCCAGGTCTTCCTAACTGATGAGAATAATGATAACAATGGTAATGATGGCTGCCTTTTTGTTTTTTTTTGGAGCATCTACTATGTGCCAGGCACACTTCACTCTGCATGGTATTATTATCCCCATTTTACAGATGAAAAAACTGAGGTTTAGAGAGGTTAAATGTCTTGTTCAAGGTTGTACAACCACTGAGCAGCACAGGTGGGATTCTAGAAGCCAACTTTCCATTTCCTCTTGTCAACTTAAAAAGTAAATTGGCCAGTTGTTTTACCCTCAAAATGAATATATTCAGGAATAGCCAAAAGAATTGCAATTCAGGATATGCAGGCTATGGCGGACCACAGGCACATCCAGAGAGACACAGGAAGGGGCTTGCCTTTATAGAGGAAGAGGGAGAGTGGAGAGGGGCTGCAATAAACAGAGTCCATTGGAGGAAACTGGAAGTGTACAGTGTAAAAGGTTTCTCATTGGTTGCGTTGCTACAATCTCTCATTGGCTGGGCTGTTGCCGGCGGGGAGAGAACTGGGGAGAGAAATCTTCCTCCCTTATGCTGTGTACTCAAGTAGGAAACACCTTCCTGTCCCAGATGCAAGCTTAACCTCCCTTCCTGGTTGGAGTAATTGACATGTGTGGTGGGGCGTGAGAGCTCCCCCTACAGGCCTTCCCCACTCCAATTTAGAAGAGGTTTCTTGTATTCATTTCACATACTGCTCAAACCCGTTTCTATAACCCTGCCTCCCCCTTTTCATCCAACCAAATTGGACTCATCTTTTTTTTTTTTTTTTTAAAGATTTTATTTATTCAGCTTTTTCCCCCCAAAGCCCCAGTAGATAGTTGTATGTCATAGGTTCACATCCTTCTAGTTGCTGTACGCGGGACTCGGCCTCGCGTTGGACGGAGAAGTGGTGCCTCCGGGCGCTCCCGGGATCCGAACCCGGGCCGCCAGCATCAGAGCGCGCGCACTTAACCGCTAAGCCACAGAGCCGGCCCTGGACTCATCTTTGAGGTCGCAGTGGAAGCATTCCTGATCTTCCAGATTGGGATTTAATGTCCCCACAGTGCCTTCCCACAGCGTGCCCTGTGTCCCAGCCCAGCACTTATCAGCCCAGATAGGGATTGCCTGCCTACGTATGTTGTTTCGGCGGGGGTGCTTAGTAACATGCCAGGAGCACAACAGGCGCTCAATAAATACCTAGAGAAAGAGTTAATGAACTAATGAATGAGCAAGGAGGAAAGTCTCTAGAGAGGAGCGACTGGGCTGACGAAAGTTTCTGAAGCCGAGGCATGTGGAAAAGAGTTGAAGGACCTGAGGATGTTTAGCTTGAAAAAACAGAAGATGCAGGGCTCTCTGAGGGCTGTGTTATTATGGAAGCCTTTTAGACTTGTTGTGAAGACCTTAGAGAGGAGAGGCAGAACCACCTGTGCTTTCAAGGAAACAGACTTTTCTTCTATATGAAGCTTTGTAGTCCCGGGTTAGCCCAGGAAGGAAAGGAACTGCCTCTTCAGGCATCAGGGATTTATTTGATGGCCTTGCGTGTAGAGGGTTAAATAAACCTCTAATCTGCAAACTTGCACATTCCAGGATTCTAAGGAAGTGCCTACAGAATGAGGAAATGAAACAGAAGATAAGGACTTGCTCCTCTGTTAGAAAAAAAAAAAAAAAGCTAAATATTTGCTTTCCAAGAAAAATCTGCCTTAGGAGCCTTTGAAATAACATTTTTTAAACAAGGGAGAAACTGAGAAATTTTTAGTGACTGGCAGTATATAATTTGTTGAATCCCTGGGTTTCACTTTTGGCAATGTTGAACGAATGGAAGAATGATTACAGGTAAACTGCATTAGCTTTTTTGGTTAATTCATGTGGACCTTGCAGTTAATGAAAATCACTAAACATTTGTTACACATAGCTTAATAGCTATCATATAGCAGATTTTTTTTTTAACTTAAGTGGAATACTTTAAATTTTTTTGTGTTAAATTTCCTCTTCTTCATTTAGGTTCATCTTTCTTGAGTAATATCTTTTTCCTCCTTAACTTAGCAAGTTAAAATCATTTGCAAATTTAATAAAATGCTTTCTATATTTTTCTCTAAGTCCCTACTGAAAATATTAAAAGAATATTTTATATTCTTTTGAAATGACTATAAATAATCATCTTCACTTTAAAAATTTTATGTCTAAATATTTAATGACTATTAGTACGGAAAATACGAGGGCATCTAGTTCAAAAAGTTGCCTGAATAATCAACCTATAAACATCAATAAACCTATAATAATAATCAACCTATAAACAACTGTGTATTAGTGAGAGGAAATTTTTTAGAGACTTGAGTTTAGGGCTTAATAGGGCCGCCATAACAAAGTACGACAGACTGGATGGCTTAAGGAACAGAAATTTATTTTCTCAAGTTCTGGAGGCTAGAAGGCCAAGATCAAGGTGTCAGCAGAGTTGGTTTCTTCTGAGGCCTCTCTGGCTTGTAGATGGCCTCCTCCTTGCTGTGTCCTCGCATGGTCTCCCCTCTGTACCTGTCTGTGTCCAAATTTCCTCTTCTTATAAAAACACCACTCATATTGGATTAGGGCTCACCCTAGTGACCTCATTTGACCTTAATTACCTTTTTAAAGACCCCATCTCCAAATACAGTCACATTCTGAGGTACTTGGGGGTTGACTTCAACTTATGAATTTTGGGGGACACAATTCAGCCCACAGCACGTTGCTTTGCTTTTCACTTTCCCGGTTTGTGGAGGACGGTATGTTTGGCATGTTCCTAAATAGCCTCTGTTTCATTTCCGGTTCACTTTATATTCCCATTTGAGGGTGATATAAGTGTTACTGATATACACTGGGGAAGCATGTTCAAAGACTTCAGCAGTGTGCTACTTATTCATTTACCATCACATATTTCTGAGTCCTTAAAGCAGGTCAGACAAAAGCAGTGCGTTGGACAGCCAACATCCTAGGGCTGCAGGTGGGAAACGCATGCAATCTAGCCAGGATGTGAAACCAAGTCCGAAGAAGATTTTTCAAAAGCCAAGAATTAGAACCACTAGGTCAGAAAAGCCTTCTTTCAGTATAAGCAGAGGAGGCTGATTTATAGGGAAAGATGAAAGGAGGGCAGCGTGTGTATTTTGGCCACTCAGAGGACAGTGGGGCTGGGAAGGGAGGAGGAGGGTAAGTTATCACAAGCCGGTAGCCGGCCAATGAGGAAGAACAGCAAAGAGGAAGCTGGATGGCCAATGTACAAAGAGCTGATGCAGGGAAAAGGTCTAGGGGAGAAACAAGATGAACGTGAGCATCTGGCGATGTGGGCTCAGAGCCAGGAGGGGCCTTTGGAAAGGCACGATAGATTATGTGCAGCGTGGGGCATTTGGCCATGAGAAGCCCTGGGAGGATCAGCCTCAGAGGCCTTTAAAGTCAGGTTGGACCATGAAGTAAACTGCAGAGGAATCCTGTCCAAAGGACTCAGAGTTGGCAAAGACTGCGAGAGGCTGCTTTCCATCTCCAGCTCTTAGTTTCCAGCCCTGACACCCGGGCTTGTTCCAGTCTACTCGATCCATTCATTGAATAAATATGTGCTGAGAATCCCCATCTGTGCGAGGCCCAGTGAAAGATGATGCATCCTCAGATCTTTGGAACTCGGTGGAGCTAGGAAAGCATCCCCTCCTCCTAGAGGTACATTCTTCTGTATGCGCCCGGATGCCAATGTCCCTGTGGCTGTCCTGTATGATTGTCCCATCCACTGAAGGAAGCAGGTTCCTCCACTTCCCTCTTCCAACCAAACCGGCATTTGTCTCCAAAATGAAGAGGAATAGGGAAATCCATCAATTTTACCTGGCTATTTTTCTATACCAAAATAGTTTAGTTCTAATACATTATCTTTTGCTCTATATTTTGCCTCAGTTTTATCATTTATGCATTCATTAAGCAAATACTCATTGAGTATCTGTAGTGTACAAGACATGGTTTTGGGTGCCAGTGAGGCTGCAGGGTCATGCCAGGGTCACATCTGGCTCACTGCCGTTCATGCTTTAGGATCTGGTGCAGATTCCACAGTTTCCTGCAGCGTGGGTCTTCTGGGGGGAAATTTATAAAGGATCAGTGAGAGAAGAAATCCTCCAGAGCTAGTAAAACTTAGTCATGAAACCATCTGGGCTTGATGCCTTCTGCAGAGAGGATGTATTTGACAACTAATTCAGTTTCTTTAAGGGTCATTATTCTATTTGGGTTTTCTATTTCTTCTTGAGTCTATTTTGATAGTTGGTATTTTCCTTAAAAATTGTTTGATTTGTCTGTATTTTCAAACCTTTTGGCATACATTATAGTTCATAACACCATATTTTAACACAGGGCATTGTATTCTTTTTTTGTGTGTGTGAGGAAGATCAGCCATGAGCTCACATCCATGCCAATCCTCCTCTTTTTGCTGAGGAAGACTAGCCCTGGGCTAACATCCGTGCCCATCTTCCTCCACTTTATATGGGACGCCGCCACAGCAGGGCCTGACAAGCGGTGCATCCATGCGCACCCGGGATCCGAACCCAGGCCGCCAGCAGCGGAGCGCGAGCACTTAACTGCTACGCCATGGGGCCGGCCCCCAGGGCATTGTATTCTTTAACAAAAAGTGCCTGGTGTTTTGTTCCTACGGTTGAACAAAAATTCTGAAGAAACACTGAGACCTGAGGGATGGGTGTGGAGGGATGGGGGAAAATATCTTTGTTGACTCAGTTTCCCTGATAATACCGGGCATTTATAAAAGAGTGATACAGTTTTATAGGGCACCTATTGCTTGCCTTATCTCCCTTTCCCTCACAAAGCCCTTGAGGGGTAGATTTCATTTTGAGCCCCAATTACAGATAAGAAAAATCTGATCAGAGATGTTAATTTATCTGTGATGTACAAGTGAAGCCAGAAATCACTCCTAGATGACACCATTTTAATTAGAAAGGGGTTTAGAGATCATCTAGTTGAGAAGTTTTGGGGTCCACAGACCCCCAGAGGGCCCTTGGATAGACTTCAGTGGGTACATAATTTGGATGGGAAAAAAATTACATCCTTTTTCACTAACTTCTAACTGCAATTTAGCATTTCCTTCTATTGTGATTGTAAACCACAAACCACAGGAGTAGTGGCAGTGCTGTCTGACCAACAGAGATCACAGATACTTTCATGGCACATTGTAGTTGTCAGAGATGACTCAAAATAATGTTTACACTCGCCACTACTTCAAAATCACACTGGTGAGTGGACATACCTCTCGATCTTGTTACTTAATGTTCTTTTTTAAAGTGCATATGTTACTATATACCCAATTTTTTTTCTTTTTAATATCTTGATAACTGTAGTTTAAATAACTGGCCTCCTTTCTTATTCTTTGTGTCTGTTTATTTGTTTGTTTATTGTGATTATACATACATAACATATAATGAACCAGCAATGCTTGAGAGTTCCAATTTCTCCACATCCTTATCAGCACTGTTATTCTCCATTTTTTTTTTATAACAGCCATCCTAGTGGGTATTGCATTTTATTTTAGGCATTTAAAAACTTTATTCTGAGAAGGGGTCATGGGCTTTGCCTGACTGCCATGAAAGACCCTGGTACAAAGAAAGGTTGAGAAGCTAGGATGAGACAACGAGATCCCAGAGATGCTGTCACTTGTCCAAGGTGAAGTGATGGACCAGCAGCAGCCCAGGGCTCAGAATCAAGTCTCTGGGGCTCAGAGGAGCCCTTTTCCCTTCTTACCACGTGATTTGTTCTCATGCAGACACTCACCCCAGCCAGTGGTCACAGTGAGTCACAGCTGGAACAGAGTCACGGACCGACCAGCCACTGAAGCTGAGGTCAGCCCCAGACACAGAAGAGACGGACATAATCCCAGTCTGCAAACCGCTGCAACATAAAACTACCACACAACCACAGCGACTAAATCTTTATTCGCTCAACAAACATACATTGAGTGCCGTGTTTGGGAACAAACGCTGTGTTCACGTGGAGTGTCTGGGAGACATCCGAGGGTACATCCCTTGGAGATGCTCACCTGGCAGTTTGGTTTGCAGGTTAAGGTTCAGGTGGGGGAAATAACCCTGTGTATGTTTCCTCTAAACACAGAATGGTGTCCTGCACTGTCGTTTCTTCATCAGGAGCCTCTGGTTCTGCAGAGACAGCCTAAGATAGCGTCCTTTTTCCTGACAGTCTCTTGTCCCATTTCTTTTTTTTTTTTTGTAAGGAAGATCGGCCCTGAGCTAACATCTGCCAATCCTCCTCTTTTTGCTGAGGAAGACTGGCCCTGGGCTAACATCTGTGCCCGTCTTCCTCCACTTTATATGGGACGCCGCCACAGCATGGCTTGCCAAGCGGTGTGTCAGTGCACGCCCGGGGATCCGAACCGGTGAACCTGAGGCCGCCACAGGGGAGCGCGCGCACTTAACCGCTTGTGCCACCGGGCTGGCCCCATCTTGTCCCATTTCTCACTGAGCTTCCAATCAACCATGGCTCCTGAGCCTTTCCACACCTGCCACCACACTTGTCAGCTTGATATTTAAAATAACAATAGCTGGGGCTGGCCCGGTGGTGCAAGCGATTAAATGCGCGCGCTCTGCTGCAGCAGCCTGGGGTTCACCTGGGTTTGCTGGTTCAGATCCCGGGTGGGCACCTATGCACTGCTTGTCAGGCCATGCTCTGGCGGCGTCCCATATAAAGCGGAGGAAGATGGGCATGGATGTTAGCCCAGGGCCAGTCTTCCTTAGCAAAAAGAGGAGGATTGGCAGATGTTAGCTCAGGGCTGAGCTTCCTCACAAAAAAAAAAAAAAAGAACAAAGCTGGAGGTATCACAATCCCTGATTTCAAAATATACTACAAAGCTATAGTAACCAAAATAGCATGGTACT